GATCATTTGTATTATCTATGTAATTCTCTCCTGTTGTTCGGAAAAAATCTTTTAGTGCAATGAATGCTTCAGTCATGGTTCTTATTGGCTTGTTTGAAGATCTTTCAGAATAGAAGCATAATATGTTATATTCTGCATAATTCTCTAATATATTATATTTATGTATAAAAAGACATTAATTTCTGGCATAATTTGATTAAGGCTGGAGTTGCACTACAGCTGAACTGGCTCAATGGAAATTTTTGAGTGAAGTGGAAGCATAGCATTCCCAAAGGTTTTCCTCCAGCTATTTTCCTGTCACCTAGATATGAAAAGCTTCCTTGGCAGAAGAATTTGTAATTAATTTATGTTAGTACTTAATAGCCAGACAGTTTATTTTAAAATCTCTGTTATTTTTGCTATCCTTTTCTGTAGAGCAGTTCTAAGAAGCACACTTAGTGGTAACCTCATTTTCCTGCCAGAGTAATGAGATATTGAGTGTATATACACAGTACTCTTGCAATGCAGGAGTTAGTGATTATGTTTTCTTAACTGGAGCCCCTCAGAGGTACTTAATATTTCTTCACAAATTGCATTGGTAAATTAAGAGTTCATCTGGCTAGTTAGATTTACTAGGGCAGATGGCATTTCGCATGTGTGATGAGAGCAGGAAGGATTCAGCAAAGCAATAATGTAATTAGCTGTGTAAATGAGCCTCACAAGGTAAATCTCTTTAACCCCAATGATAAAATGTGTTTTGTGCTAAAGCTGTGGATTACTGGTCCTGTGAAACAATGTGTACAGCTAGTCAAGCCAGGATTTCAGGAATAATCCAGTTAATTTGAAAATAAAGGACATCACTTTTTATTACACTTTCCTAACACTTTTATGTTTGAAACAGAAATTTGCCTCAAGATGGTACTTGGCAAGAATACAAGAGAGAGTTGTGTGGAGTTACCTGAATTCAGTTGTAAATAAAAGCTTATTTGAATGCCAGAGGTGAGATGTTCTAGCTAGGGAGGAAAGATGCTTCATAAAAGCAGACCAAAGACCCAGGCTGAATAAAATGTGAGCTGAGCTGTCTTTTCATTGTGCTACACTGAGCAGCGTAGCTCCTGTTTACACAGTACCTGGCACAGGGTGTTCCCCCATTTAACCCTTAAGCTCTGCAGTAGTAGCTGTGATTATCAAGGTGCAGTAAAATCTGTAGAATCACAGTGGTTTAGGTTGCAAGGGACCTTTAAAGATCATCTGAGCAGGGAGGATTTGGGTGCTGCGAATTCACCAAGGCCTGTTTGTGCCTACAGATACGTGAGTAACTGCAGGTAATCTCACAATCAGTTCTAGCTAAAAGTATTTTTAATGGGAATATATACAACTTCCACATTTAATTTGAAATCAATCAACTGGAGATAAGTGTAACCATGTTGATATTGAAAGCTATTGAAATAATAAATTCATGGTAAAGACTGGTCAATCACTGTGTGCTGCCTGGTTAGAAAAACACCCTGGAGCATTGTGTTACTTCTGAAAAATCATTGAAAGTAATCTAAGTAGCGAATCTTTATTCAGCAGGGCAGTCTCACATTTTGTAAAATTAAGCAGAAACACTGGGCTGTGTAGCAACCCTTTGTGTGTGCATGAAACCTGTATTGTTCTTACTATTAAATTTACTCAATCCATGTGGGAACCTTTTGTACCGATTTTCAGGCTTTCTTTTTTATTATTAAACCTAAAGATGTTTTACTTTCTGATGAACAAGCTTTAGAGTCTAAATTTCAAAACAAGGTGTGAAGTGCTATTTTCTGCGTAAGTGTGTCATAGTGTAGTCAGGTTGACTTCTGTCATTATTTTACTCACAGGCTATAAAATACAGAAACAGTATTAATAAAACTGTGAATCAGGGACATTCTGAGCAATTTAGACATATCACAAGAAATCAGAGCAAGTTTTGGGTTGTTTTGGTTTGATTTTTTAAAAATATTATCTTTTCTACTTGGAGATACTGAAAACCTGACCGGACATGGCCCTGGTAACCTGTGGGGAGTCACTCTGGCCTGAGCTGGGGGTTTGGACTGGATGATCTTGAGGGGTCCCTTCTGATCTCAACTATTCAGTTTCTCTTGAGTAGTTACTTTCATATGCATAATGTATGCCTACAGAGGTCCATAAATCGGTGTGGGTGTGTGTTTCTACAAGTATGTAACTCTTAATATAACATGTTTGAGAGTTTGGGGTTTTTTTTAATGTTTAACATATTATGGAGACAGACACTCTAACTTACTATGGGGACAGACACTCAACTAGAAGAATGGGTAAATGCCTTCAATTTTTAATTAACAGGAAAAGCTAACGCTTCTAAGATTTTCTTGTACCAATTCTCAATAATAGGAAATGTATCAAAGGACATTTTTGTCAATAATAAAATCTTGCTTTCTCACATGCTTACTGGTAGTGTTTTTACTACTGTGCTAAATAATTTATAATAGTCATTATGATTGCAGGATAACTGGAATAATTCACATTGGAAGGGATCTTCAGACATCAAGTCCAACTGTCTTCCAAAGCAAGATGAGCTTTGAAGTTAGGAGAAGCCTAGAAATGAGAGCAGGTTTCTAGGGGCTCTTCTGAGCAGCATCAAGAAGAGTAATGCCAAAGAATCTTGGGCAGTTGGCTCCTGCATCCGATCACCTGCACACAGTCTGTGCTGCTTCATGTACTGAGGATCCCAAAAGTTTTTTACTTTTTATTCCTTCCTATCACATTCTGATTGAAGCTGGTCAGTTTCTCATCAGTGGCTGTCAAACAGTGCTAAATAGTTGAATCAATATGTAAACAAGAAAGTTGTTTTACCTCTTTTCCTGTATGCTGAAAGCCATCTAAAAAAATTTTTGCATTTATAGTTTCATGCAGCCATATTTTTAAAATTTATTTACATGGCATAGAAATCAGCAGGAAGAAAGAAATGGTACTTCTGTTGGAGAAGAAAAAATTGCCCAACAACCAGTGTGAATTAGATCTTTGGGATTTGTGCATTTTGCCTCACTTAGATTTGTATCTCCTTGTTACTGAAACTTTCAGAGAAACATAGATGCTGGCTGAGATGGTCTCAATGCAGGGAGGACTCTGCTGGTCCCAGTGTGTGAGGTGTTTCAGAGTTGCAGCAGTGGATCAGTTGGTTGCCTATGCAGTGGTGTGTGCCCTTTATTTCAGCAGTCTCATGACTCCCAAGATGCAGCCTGAAAGGAATTGCAGGGATTATAACTCTTTTGTGCTTCCCAGGTGCTTATTCTGTGTATGGCTTGGTTTTATTTCTCTTATTGTGGGACTAAGCCTTATCTTGTACTTATGTATGGTCTTTCCAAAATGAGATTGCTTCAGAATAGAGGCAACATACCACTTGCATACCACCAGCACTCTCTGCGTGTTTTGGAATGTACTCCCCATGCAAGGAATGCTTTTTGGCTTGGCACTTCACTGATGCATTAACAGATCTTTATTTTTTAATTGGCAGTCTTGCTGGCTGCAGCTCCCTTGCCAGGGACTTCCTGCCTTAAACCAGCAGTTGGTGCTTTGCTGTAGTGTTTTCTTTCCTTCTGCAGTTTCCTGTGAGGAAGTCTTTAGGGTGTCTTCAATCAGTCGAGTCCATGTTCCCACTTCTGGGTGTTGAGGAAGGAGAACGCTGCTTGCTTAGGAATTTGTTTTCCTGAGCCATGTGTGGGGTGAGAGAGGAGTGAGATCAGCCCCTGTGAACTCCCTGAACATACTTCATAAGTGCTACAATAAATTCTGAGGGGCCTTGTATTTTTGGGAGGTGAAAAGTCAGTTTTACACCTTCAGGTTCCTTGTGGACAGGTTAGGTAACTTACTGGAAGTTTTTATCCTCCAACTGGAGGTTGTTTATTAACTATATTAATTTGCACATGGGGATACTGAAAAGGAGGCAATAGTAGGATGAACATAGGGGGTAGAGTTATTCCTTGAGCTGTTTGAGGTGTAGAGTGCTCCTTTCTAACGTGCTTCCTCCTCATCAGAGGAGACCAGGAGTTTGGTCAATTATTTCTCTGGAACATCCAAGCACTGTTGTTTTTACACTGCCTAGCACGGAGCACGCCCAGGGCCACTGGTGCTTCCCTGAGGCAGAGGGGCTGCAGAGCTGGCAGTGCCCCTCTCCTTCCAGTGCAGGATGTCACACAAGTGATTGGGAGAAACAGTTCCCAACTTAGTTTCCATAGGGTTGTCAAACCTCGATAGTGGTAGGCCAGTGAGAGCCTAAAAAGGGGATCCATTTGTTGCAGCTGCCAGTGTTTTTTGAACGTGGTATTAGTGGTGTTAAATTCCTACCTGTTTTTTTGTGATTTCTGTATTTTTTTATATTGTGAATAAGTTAGAGTGAGTGTTGGATCGATGCACAGTAAATAGTAACATGTTAGACTTTCTGATTTGTTTTGGTGGTGTTTCATACTCACTGTTGATCCAGAGATCAAAAAAGAAAATACAAAAATACAAAGAGGGAAAAGGATTGGGATAATGTGGCAAGATAAGGGTCTTCTTTGTACCCTTCAGTCAAAAAGTCATCATAAGCATGCTTGTTTTGCACGTTATCTATCTAATGCTGTGTGTGCATATGTATATATATTTGTGCATGCATGTACTTGGCATAAACATGAAGCAAAGCTGATACCCAAAACATTGTCCAAGTAATTGATACATATGTGATGAACTTTCAATGATTTTATGCTACAGAGGAAGACCTTGGAAAAACCTTCACTGTATTTCAGTAGCAACTGGTTAACTGATAGACAACCTGGCTACATTCCTGTGAGCTCATAAAACACACAGTTGATTAGAAATGTTATTTCTAGACAGATTTATGGGGACACTTATATTCTTCCTGTGCTGTTGATTGCTGTTCTTAATTTCATCTTGCCAACCTAACACTAGAATTCATGCTATTCTCTTTCCTCTGCTTTTATCAATTATGTTGTTTAAAACTGTGGAATATTCTTGCTTATTTTCAGATCTCATCAGAAAACTAGCACAGCAGCAGTTTGGAAATACACAGGGCGATTATCAAAAGGTAAATTATCTATGTGTATCTGCATAAAATAATGAAAATTATGACTTTGAAATCCAGGTTTTTTTCTAAACCAGTAATTAGTATTTTAAAACTATATGAACAGAATACAAATACGAATTTTTAAAATAATATGTATGATGTTTTCATGAAAAGTGTGAGACCAATTATAACGAACATTCCACAAACCACTGTAAAGAAACTACTCGTAGTTAAGGATGACTTACAAATTCCGACTGTAATGGGATTATTGCACAAAGATTGATGGCTCTTTGTATTGAAAAATACTGTTTTTATTTCAAAAAACTTAAGGAGAACCATTAATGCTTAGCTGTAAGCTTCAGTTATTTTCAGAAAGCTGAATTTATATTAAAAATATACTATTTATGTATTAACAAGAAGATGGAATGGAATATGCATCTGAGTTTTAGGCTCTTCTGGAGCACAGTGTTCCACATTCAAATCAGGAGTTGAGTTTCTGCAGTATGAATTGAACTGTGCCCAGGCAATGGACAAGTTATTTCATATGAGCTACTTGCTTCTGGTCCCCACAGTGTAGTGCACCCATCAGGAGGATGAGCGTGGTGCTTGCACACAGACACTGAGCTATTGCTATGACCAGGATGGCCTTACTGGTGTTTCTGTGTCTTCCCAACAACAAGCCTATTTCTCCAGTAGCTTGATAAGCTCTGCACAACATCCTGATGTGTGGGTTTTGTTGTTACACCGCATCAAGTGACTCTTGCTGATCCCATCTGCTTGCTTGGTGGGACTCTAGAGAGTGGTGCATCACAGATTGTTCCTGCATAGCCAGGGAAGGATGTAGGAGTAGGGCTTGGATGAGAGTCCTGGGACAAAACTGTTAGACCTTAAATGGTATCCCTGACCACAAGCAGAGTGTTTAGTAACTAGTATGTAAGTCACGAGAAATCTGAGACTAGTCCTGTGTAAGGAATGTGATTATAGGGTGGCAGTTAAAATATTAGGATGCTTAAGAAGCAGAACAGATGCAAGGCATTTATCAGTCCAAGTTCTGACCTGTATACAGTGCAAAACCTTGAAACAAATTTGGAAAGTGAAAATACATCAGGACAAGTAGAGTGTGGTTCAGAAGACAGAAGCATCAGTGCGAGTCATCTATGAAGCTGCCAGCATTGCTGTAGATGTGCCCCTGGAAGAATTTCCAATGGAGGCAGGGAAGTGTAAGTGTTGCTGAAAGGTGTGACTAAGTAATTAGAAATGCTTGCCTGTGGTTCTGATCACTCAAATTCAGGGAGAATGAATTCAAACGGGAATGAGCTCAGGAAGTGTCCATTAGGGTGATCTGGGAAACCTGTTGATCTTCAGATGAACCTGGAACAGTTTGCTTAGCTTAGGAAAAGAGTTGATAAGGGTTGTGGTTAAAATATATAGGGGAGAGGAAGCACTAGGAAGAAGGTTCTGTTTCTTGGGCAAAATACAGTGCTAGCACAGAAGTATGGGGGCTGAAATGGACGTGTGAGAAGACTTCCTCACCAAGAACTGAGAACAGCCCTTCAGTAGCAGGAGCGGGAAATCTACTTCTCCTATTTATCCTGTTAAATTTCTGCTGTTGTTCCTTTGTATCATTTTTTTAACCTATTTATAGAATGTGTTAGTGACCCAGGAGGCCCTTCCCACTTCTGTGCTGTGTGTCCTAGTGTTCCCAGTTGGACTCTAACCATGAACATCTATCTCCCTGTGCTCTGCCAGGGCAGCAGTCTGCCAGGTCAGCCCAGCAGCTGAGCCGTGCCTGCTCAGGGGAGCCAGCTCACTGCTGCTGCCATTGCTTTGCTTCTGCTGGGAGGCTGTGTGCTTGAAATGTTCAAAATCATACTTGGTACCAGATTCATAAGGGAGGGGAAGCTTTAATCCTTCCATTGATACAGGAGAAACTATGTCAATACGTTCAAAATATGGTTTTGAACTTTTTAAGTAGTACTGCACAGTAGAAGTTTCACAGGGATCTGTGTGATGCTGATAAATCGCTAAAAACTCGAACATTTCTGATTCTCACACATCGGACTTTGGGCTGAGGGGTCTTGCCATCTTTGGCTTGTCTGCTTTACTTCCACTTAGGAGAAAGGGGAAAGCACTGTCAACTTGAATTTGGCAAGCAGAGATGAAGAGGAAAATACAAGAAATTAATTTTCCATTGTGGAAACAAAGGGGATATTGGGTTCTTCTGAAATACGGTCATTGAATATTTAGTTTTCAGTGTTTTTCTGGTTTTACAGATTAGAAAATAGGTAAGCACTGTTAAATATATTTCTTCAGTCTCTCTTGAATGCCTTTTCTTTTTTCTTTTGAATAATTTAAATTGAACCTCTACATGGTTAATTAAAAGTGAGGGTGAATTTTGTGTGTAATGTGTTAATATCCCAAAACTGCTACTGCAGCTACTAAAATAAAATATGCACTGAGAAGAAAAAGGTAGTCAAGAATATCATACCAGTTATGACAGGTGGAATTCATGAAGAAATCACCAAACCGCAAAATAATGCAATCTCTGGCCTTCTGTGAGATATATTGGGAATTGCATGAAATAGATGCTCAGTGTGGAAGTAACTGGTCTGTCATTGTTTTAAGATGGAAGTATTTGTTGGACAAATCCTAGATTGCTTTCATTCACAAAGGAAACCAGAAAATAGGTGCTATGTATTTTAGTGTAAATATTTTTCCATAATTATTGGATGGTGCTTCTGTGCATTATTTTACTTTAATGTTTGTTATTGTTATTGTTTCTATGTTGTTAATTGTTATGGTCTAGTCATGGTTAATAATTCATTATTCACGGGATTTGTTTTCTGTGCATGCTGCATTTGTTTTGACTTCCACAGCCAGAAAATGTTGTCCTGACTCTTCAGGTAATGTCTTATGGTAGATGTACACCTTTGAAAAGAAACTAACCATGTCTGCACTGCTCCTGTTAAAATATCCAGAACCATTTTTAATGTTACTTTAAATACTGTTTTGCTATCTCACCTATCTTAATATACGCTGTCATATAATTTTTGGAGTGTTCAGCTATGTAGAAAACAGTGATTCTTTTGCAAAATCCAACCAAATTTGTCTTTTAAGCATGTAGTTCATATTTTTCAGAAGGAAGCGCAGGTTTTAACAAGCAATAATAATTAAAAGAGTATTTTCATCCTAGAATTGGTAATTAGGGCAGAAATTTGCAACTCTGCTAATGGTGGTAGTTGCTGTATTTGGCTCAGTTGGTAATTAGGGATTGTGGGGAAGGACATCAGCAAGGCTGAACTAGAGCATGATTGATGTCTTGTGAGAAATTGTAACTTATTTTACAGGACAGTTATGCAGCCTCAATTTCATCCTTTTGCTGTCAAGCTGCCCTCGTGCTGATGGATCTGTAAAACAGAAAAGGGCTCAAAGAACCAGTGTGAGAATTAGTTCTCCTAAGATTGTGAAAGGAAAGGAGAAAAGAGATTTATCAGGGAAGAAGGACTCCTGGGGTGTGCCCCCGGTGTGCTGTCTTTGTGCACAGACACGTCCCTGCTCCGGTTTCGGCTGGGTTGTGTTTTCAGCAGAGAGAAACAGCGTGGCCAGCTCACAGTGTCCCCTGGGAGCCACATTGCCTCGTGTAGGGCCCTACCAGGGCTGCCTGGCCCAGCTTCTTGGTCCCAGGGCTCTTGCAGTGTGAAAGCAAGTCAGGGTATTGCATTGCATCCTTCCCTTTCACTCCTGCCAGCATCCTTTTAGTTGCTGCTGCTTTGCTGTTTGGCAGCAGAATAAATGTCTTTACCTGAAAGATCTTAAAATCTGTCTGCTTCTTCATGTTTTCCAGTCCCTAAGCAGTTTTAAATTCAGCACTTTGGAGTAACCTCAGCCATTGTAATCGATCATCCAGTGAAATACTTCCCTTTGGGGTTCAGATGAATTTTTCTACTCTTAACTGAATAAAAAGGAGAAAAAGTGAAGCCTTCTTTTGATGAGGTGTTCTTCTAGTTAGCCTTGCTGACATTTATGGAGGCTTTTTGGAAACAGATGTGAGAAACAGTAAATTCGTGGTCTGGGAATTTAGATGTGTTCATTTTTAACCTATTTTCATTGCATTACTTCACATTTATTTCTTGTGAGCATACTTCTCTCTTAGCACTCACTCTTGTAGTTTGCCTAGCTGATACTCTAGTGCAATAATTATTAGCTATCAGTATCTACAATGTTATGTATCTTTCTGTTAGAAAAGTTGTCAATTATTGACAAAATATACCAACTCAATAATCTCAGTAACTTAGTAGATGCTTTAGTATGTAGTTTTATTTTTAATTATTTGCTCTATATTGATTGCAGTTATTGTGTGATATCTTCTATTACCATTATTTTTGTCTGAATTACAGGCCATCTACTATGAAATCGGTTTTATAGTCTCCGCAGCCTTGGGATTGCTATTTATTTTGTTACTGCCTCTTGTGGGACTTTGCTTCTGTATGTGTCGTTGCTGTGACAACTGTGGTGGGGAAATGCATCAAAGACAGAAGAAAAATGCTGACTGTCAGAGGAGCTGTTTTGCAACATTTCTTTTTGTTGCGTCTTTAATAATAAGGCAAGTGTGATAAAGAGAACAATATGAACCTTGGTATAGCACTTACTTTACAGTGTCATATGACAATTAATATTACTGTATTAGCCTACAGGTGCAGAAATTATTTTATTAGACTAAGTACTATTATTGCTTATTAAAGGAAATGTAACTGCATTATAAAAAATGCTGCCACTGTTGCTATACACAGGTCATTATGTACTTAAGCAGAATGTAGGTGTGAAACAAACAAAAAAATTTTTTGTATTGGGCAAATGACATTTTTGCCAGGCTCAAAACAGCAGTTGCAAAATGTTACATTACGCTTGTGAACACGAGAGACCATGTCCTGTGTTCAGTTCCTATCTCATAGAGAACCTGAGATATCTCATACTGCTTTGTTCTTGGTAGTGTTGCAGTGATGAAAAAAAGCAAGTAAGTGCCTTCCTTCAGTATCCGCGGTACTCCAGATATTTATACTAGTTAAAACCAATGGGTTTTCTTCTGGGTCTTGTGTTGTTTAAACCGTGCATGTGCTCCCTGTAAATCCTGGAGTTTGGAGATATTTTTGCACTGTTGGTGCTAGGAATATACTCCTGTTTGGAGTGTGTAATGGGTGATGAGGAACTACAATCAAGACTTCTTCCTACTTTCAAAATACATTATTTACTTTCAGGCTTTCTATTTTCCTTAAACTTTATGTTTTCACCTGCCTACTATCCTTATTTTGTGATTCTATTAAAGAAGAAAAAAGTGTTTTGATCTATACAGTGTGATTGATGTGGGATGTACTCTCTCACTTCACTGTAATCTAAATGATTTTTTTTCCTGTTGTCATGACAAATGTTGACCTTGTTTATGCTCAAATAGAGGACAGGCTGATATCAGACATGGAAACATGCTCTTTTCTCCCAGACATCTCTAAAAAACATGACCCAGAATTTGAAGACTCGGAAACCACATGGTGTAGGGTGATAGGTGCATCCCTGCCATGATGGCAGGAAAAAAGTTCTTTATGGTTCAAGTGTGCCTTGAAGACAGTAAGTTATTAAATTATCTCTCAGCATGTCAAAACTGAAGGTAGTCACAGAGTTTGCCAGTTGTCTTTCCACCACATTTCAGGATACTGTGTTGCAGGATGCTGCTTTCTGGCTATAATGGCTGGAGAATGTTGCCTGTTAGTAGAGAAATTAAGATTGTCCCCCTCTTTAGATTGTGCATTTGCTACCAGCTGTCCTTGTGGGATTAAGCATACACAGCACAGGCAAATACTTCTTCCCAGGTCATGACTGGCAGATCAGTGATCCCTAGTAATATGCTTTCCATAACTAAGGAAATTGCCTCTTTAATTTATCCTCCCCCCACCTTTTTCTGAGACATCATGATGTATCAGATGCTTACCCTAAGTGGGGGGTGTTACCTGAAATCGATCTACGGGTTGAGTGGAGGCAATCTCCTGTGAGGACTCCCTGGTTAAGTCTCTAATGCTGTGAGTTATGTGCAAGGCAAGACAGAACTTTACAAGTTGAATATTACTGATCCCAGACTGACTCTGGGCTCGAGTCTCCAGTATGCCTCTGTACAAAGAGAGATTCTCCTGCCCTTCTTTGAATCTTTAACAAGGGACAAGAAGTTGCCATGCCTGAATCTATTTAAGCTCATGTCAGGTTGCTTACTGCTGTGCTGTAACACAAAAGGACTGTCTTACTGATAGCCATTGCCCCAGCAAAAAATTCTGGAGGAAGCCTGAGGTTTACTTAAAACTGTTTCTACATGTCTTGTAATGTACTCAGAAAGTATCCTTGTGGTGACTGATTTGTGGAAACTTTATTATCTGCTTTTCCCCAAAGTTCCTATGCAATTTCAGCTTAGATAGAAGGTTTACTTGTAATTCTTCCCAAAAATCACACTTCTCAAGGACTGTGCCAGAGCTGAATATGTAAGCTGTGACAATAACCAAAAGAGTTTAGTTCTGTGGAAGTAAAATGCTTATGGCTACTTGAAGACGGAAGTAAAAGAGTGAAACCTTGAATGATCTCCATCAATACATGATTAAATCAAGATGTGCAATGAAATTACTAAGGCAGGTCCTGCCATTGCTTGGGTATAATTTCAAGTTCATGCAGCACGGGAAGCCTTCTTTGGTAGTAGAAACCCCAAAGATGTGCCAAGTGACTGGAATGCCATAGACTCTTCACCCTGAGCTGTGCTGCTTCAGAAGATGCCTTTAGTAAGGCTGGCATCCCTCAAAGTACCCTGAACCCACATCTTTGCCAGTGGAGCTTTGCTTTAAAGGCACTCCTGTAGAACGTACAAGTAGACAGCTGGTGGAGGGCCTGGGAAGGATTTCTAAGGGGTGGACTTCTTCAGGATTACCATCTAAGTGTATGTTCTCCATCTTTTCCCTCTCTCTTGCAGTGCCAGACACTCTGGGATTCCCTCATTGAGCCATTTTTTTCCTTTTTCTTGGTTTTTTTTCCAGTCCTTGATATGGAAAAATGGTTTCAAACTGTCTTTCCTTGGCTGGGAAAGACAGGTTAAATGCACAGTGGAGAGTATTGGTAGTGCAGAGACTCTGTGGAGCTTGCAATGGACTGTGTATGTAGGCAACAGCTCTAGCAAACTCTAGTAACATGGGGATGGGTTTTGTTGTGTGCCAGGATGCAAGTTCACACTGACATATATGCTGTTAATGCAGATTTTAGAATATTTCAGCCAGTAGATTTTAATTAGGATGAACATTTCTTCTCACTTTTCCACTGATGTAGTGCTCTGGTTTAGACTCAACTTACTAGAATGATGTGTAAAGGAAATGTAAGTTTGGGGTTTTTTCTTTCAGTTTAAAAATAAGGCTCCAACTAGATCTGCTTTCTGCAGGTGTGGCTTAAAGTGAGAAGTACACTTTCCTCGAGGAGGAGTATAAGAAAGAAGTCAGAAAACCTGTGATTATATATGCAATTGTTTGTCTTAATAGGCCTTCAGGGTGTAATTTTTCAGTATATGCACTTTCTGTTTGAAATATTTCTTTATAGATTGAGTCAAAAATACATGCAGTGTTTTTGGTAGGTCACAGCTTTTATACCATGATTGTTACCCTACGAAGTAGGATTCTGTTGCTAAAGAGCAGAGGATGTAGACATAATCTATCAAATACATAGCTAAGTAGATTTGATATTCCAGACTTACCATGAAAACAATTCCATGCTTTTCTTCAAATGTTAACTGAAAGTTTAGGGACAGAGACATGCTATTATATCTTACTCACTGGTCCCTGCAAGCTTAGGCAAACATGTTTTCTCTGGGAAAGAAATGTAATTACATTAGTTTTTGTACATAATAAAGGCAAGGGAGGAACGTTTGTGTTTTAAGAAAGCATATATTGCAATAGCAAATTTGCTGGTGATAGAAGATTTCCTGATGATTGCACAGAAAACCACATAGTCAGTTTTCTGTGCCTCCAAGAGAGCTTGTGCTATAACCTCTTTTTTGGAGTAATGAATGTTAGGGAAACCAAGTCTGGAAGAAGTAAATGGTGTTTGGCATCTTGGCAAGTACCTCATCAGGCTTCACATTTCTCCTCTTGTCTTTGTAGGATTGGTAATACATGTTCAGAACCTGGAAATCAATAGTATCTGCAAGAATTGGTGGAAAAGTTGATACAGAAATCTCTATCCCATTGTTTTCTTAAATTCATTATCTTGTAGCAAGGAAGGGGCTATTCTTCAAAAATGTAAATGAGCTCATGTTTTCTATTTTGTCACTTGAAATTTTTTGCAAGCTCACTTAAAGGAAAACCTTGGGTTTCCCCCTGCAGCTGGTATAGTAACATTTATATGCATCTGTGAAACCTGACAAGAAACTTGAGTGTGGAGTATTGGACTCCTGAAGAATTGTCAAAGCAATTTTCTTAACCTGTTACAGAAGTGGCATGTCTTTTTTATTCCTGCTTTATGACTTTCTCCTCATAGCTGCTTATTGAATGTTGACTCAAGGCTCAGTTACATAATAAATAGATTTTTCCTCTCATGTTGTGTGTTTGTTTAGTTACATTCAGAGTATAGTCACAATTGTTCTGAGTACCTTGGCTATTTGAAGTATCTCCACTATCTTGTTTCCTCCCTCTCCTTCCATTTAGGAAGCTGAAGAGAAAGATGGTTGTGCTGAGATCTTACAAAGTACTGCTTTGTTAGCTTCCAGTTGACCTTTCAGATCTCTGAGCATAGAACTGAAAATGTTGTCTGTCTGAAGAGTGAGGATGTGGTTATAAACTCTGAACCTCAGAGCAATATACACGTTTGCTTTTCCTGATAGCTTGAGATAGTTTGTCTTCAGATTAACAAAGAAAAGCTAAAAATATTTGTATAGCAGTTGCCATCACAGTAGAGTGAAAAGAAATAATATATTGCATATATCCAAAACTAAACTGTTACTATGCTTGTCATAGAATTATTGAATTGTTTGAATTGAAAGTTGCTCAGTTCCTTGATATTTAGGCATTCTGAGTTCTCATTCCTTGGGTGGTAGCTGATAATGGTGTCTGCTTGAGTGTTGGTCATAGTGGCAATAAGACTATGCCATTTGCTGCAGGTTAAATGGATAAATGTCCGTCCCTTTGTTCCTTAGTGACTTCTGGGAGGTTAATTAACAGCCAGTTTTAAAGACATAGCTGTGAAATTTTGGGTAGAGAAGCAACCTCTTTATGTCCATCTCTGTCATCCTGTCATTAATATTTTTGGCTATCGAGAAAAATGTTAGTAAATGAATCTTAATAGATCTGACCTGTAACAAATAGTCCTGCCATTTCTCCCTGTGACCTGCTTTGAAATTAGAATTTTCCTTCAGAGTATTTTTCGGAGTAACAAATTCTTGCACATGTTATCAGTTTTATAAGAAGAACAAGCCTTTACATTGTTTGGAAAAGCAAAATAAAGATGAATGTTTGGTATTGATTCACTGAAGGAGATGAGCATCATAAATCAGGATGTTTCTTCTTGTCTTGCCAGGATACACAGGTCATGTTGTTTTAGGTATCTGTTAGCTCTCCATCATTTCATTTATGTAGCTATATTATGGCTTCCTTTGAATGCATATTCTTCGGAGCAAGAGTTATACGTACCATGTATCTTTTTCCCTATAGAGAACCTGGATTAGGTTTTCTGTAAGTCTTATTTAAAAATACTGAAAAAGTCCTCTTGACACTCAGTTTAGAAGGTTGACATTCAGGCAGGAATACAGTACCATTTGTGTTAGTGATTCTCTTCTCCTGAGTTTGGAGGTCCATAATGGACTTTCAGGGTACTGCCTCTAGTACTGAGCTGTTGAATTGCAATACAAAGTAAGAGACTTAACAAATGTGCCAACCAGGAGTTGCCTGTAAAGTGCCTGACTGCAGCCTCAAGGCAGTGTCTGCCCTTTGGGATAAATGTGAGATGTTTAAGTCATCCTTCTCTTTAAGTCTGTTTTACACCTCAGCTAAAAAAAACCCTAAGGTTCATGTATAATAAGAGATCTTTGAAGCCTCTGGGACCTTTAATTGCCTTTTTACATACTGTTTGTGTAGGTCTGCCATGCCATAATGAGAACTTTACAGTGAGAAACGATCAAATATAAAGTAATTATCAGCAGTGCTGACAAGAAGTCTAGCTCACTTTCCACCTTTTGTTTTGGTATCAGGAAATAGATATTATTTTAGCATTAATAGGGACTATTTGTGTGCTTTCGAATGATCCATGCAATTATGTAAATAAATTGTGTTATGAATAAATCTTGCTGAACTTATCAGATGAATAATACTGCTTTTCACGGTTAACTGCCAAACATTTGCTTGTAGCTGTGTCAAGGTTAATGATACTTGTAAAAGAAACTAAAGTTTCTAAGTCTCATACAATTTGCTTAGATTATACACATTTTGTGACAGTACCCATGAAAATGGATTAGTAGTTGTACTTCAATAACTTTAGAAGACTTTGGAATAACATTTCTTTTCCTTTCTTTTTTTTTAAATTAATAGTACAGTATTGGCCCTTTTGGCTCAGTCTTATAGTCTGCCTCATGGTGTTTGTGAGAACCTGTAGTAATTTATGGAGACCTTTCTTTCTTTTGATAATATTGACCTTTGTTTGGCTATAATTTTTTGATTCTGTCTTATGTTAGAATGTACACTTGCATTAACAAATACTTGTTATCTATATTTTTTGTAGTGTTGGAGTGCTGTGTGCATATGCTGCCAACCAGCATTTAACTAACCAAGTCCGAGGAGCAAAGAAACTGGTTAACAGTAATTTTAAAGATCTGAAAATTTTCCTTAACGACACTCCAGCGGTAAAAAACTTTTATTTTATGGGGAATGAGGGTGGGAGGGAAGAGGCATAAGTAAGAAATATTGCAGAAAATATTTTTTTCTTTCTGTGCACCTGCAGTATTTTGTTTATTCTTTGTATGTGAGTCTCACTAAGTAGAATAAATGGTGCAAGGTAAGATATTTTCACATAGCAGTAAGTGCTTGGGAGTTATCCTGATGGATCAGCATTCCTTGAACAACTTCTGAGCTGCACTTCGGGAGTATACTGCTGTGATGCTTGTAGGCCACAAGCAGAAGATAAATAATTTGGAAAAAAAACGGTTTTAGAAGGAAAACGTTAAAAAAAATATATGACATGAAAACTTGGATTCCTTGTTCCTCTTTCCTGTTTCCTTGTATTTTGGACATACTTCTTTAGGCTCTGGGACAAAGCCACAATAACATCTTTTCCAGGAATATTTTGGTTTTCTGTAAACCAGAGTCACACTGTACTATACTGAACAGGAAAGATTCTTTTCTTTCAAAATTTTCATGGAGTTTCATAAGCAACCCTCTGCATATCTTGTTTTGTGTTGAAAAAAAAAAAAAA